TTTACTCTGCTAAAAACATCTGTCTGGAAGCTATTTATAAAAATGAGATCTCATATAAATAGGAAATAAAAAATTTTAAATATTTTATCAAATGAAATGAGACTCAGTTACTGCTATACTTTGTATGATTTGAGTAAAACATGTTCTTTCTCATTGAATAACACACTAAACACCAACGAAAAATACCTGAAGCCTTACCCTAAACAGAAATATTTATAAAGAGAAATTCAACAAGTCTGATGCATTTATGGGAGCTCAATGAATCATTCAAGTTTAAGTTTTCACCTTTGTGTGGCTTTTACTTCTAGAGCAGCGGTTCTCAACCTGTGGGTCGCGACCCCTGTGGGTACTCGTATGTGGGCGTATCTGCAGGTGGGCCTAGAGATGGATAGAGGAGCTGTGTCTTGGTTCCTAAGACCATCGAAAATATGTGTTTTCCGATGGTCTTAGGCGACCCCTGTGAAAAGTTGAGAACCGCTGTTCTAGAGTGATATTTGGGATGCGTAAGGACAATGCCTTTATTAAATGAGAAAAAAGACTGTTAGGAACTCGAGTATGTTATAAGATAAAGCAATTTTAGGAAAGAATACTTACGGAAATTGAGAATCTGGAAGTGGATTCCTTTACAATGATCTGCACTCCTCTGACTGTATGTATTCCGGCCATACCTCCAATTTGAGGAACACTGCATTATGCCACAGCCCCTTGACTGCCCAAGGCGTTTCCAAAGGTGTGTTTTTACAAACTCGGAGGATATTTTGATGCCTCCCTTGGTCCTTAGACTATATATATTCTGGTTCATGAGAAAAGTGAGTGGCAGTGGGGAGGTCACTTGCCTCCTGAGCCTGGAGAGGCCATGGGTCCTGGAAAAGCAAATTCTTGCATCATACCCAGGGGCTGGATATTTACGACGAGGAATAGATCCTAGTGCTGCTGGGGAAACGTAACTGTTAACTGAATAAACAGGAGCAGGGAACTAAAAGTGAGACATTAAGATAGGTCAGATTCATGACCTGGTGACCGCTTCATGGAATTCATACCGGTCAGTTGTTTGCAGTCAGTAGAAATAGCATGATCTAAGCATCCTACTGTTTCTCATGTGGAAGTGAGTGAGTCGCCGCAAGGGCAGAAAAGTGCTTGTAACTTTATTATCCTAGCACAACGAAACAATTAGAAGGAATCTGATTTTTTTTTACAAATTATAATGTTTTAAGTAGATTAATTTCGCATGAAGATATGCGAAAATCTATATTCATATGAAATTATATGATATTCATAGCCTATTGAAGAAAATATCTTTATATACCTAAAGATTACATGTCTAGTGCTTAGTCCTAATAATAGCTGGTGTTTACTAAGTGCTTACTGCATGCCAGACATTGTGTTAAATGCTTTACATGTAATCTTTAGAACACTATGAGGTAAGTGCAATTTTGTAGGTGAAGGGCTGTAACTTAGTGAGGGGGAGCCAGGATTTAAGTCATGTTTCTAACAAATAAGCTAAGTTGTCTCTAGAGGAGGGGTTCTTAAACTTATGTGGGATCATGAATCCTGGTAGGTATGTGATAAAAGCTAAGGATTATCTCCCAAAGAACCCACAGATATAAAAAATTCTACATACTGAATTTTGGGGTCTCACAGACCCTCCCTCTCAAAGCCCTTCTATTGACACATTAAAAGTCAGCCTTCCCTTAGATGATTATACTCAGGGGCACTCAAATGGAAACCAGAGAAGTTTAACGTTAAACATCACAGTACTGTGATTATGTTCGTGCTGTGACTAACGTCAAATGTACCTTAAAGCACCTTGAGAAAAGTATGCAATTTTGTAAACTTGGGATATTACCTGGAAAAAAACAAAATCAAAACAACAAACAGCATATTCTGCCTTTTTCTACTAAAGCAAATATGTATATTGGTAGAAACCATTCTATTAACCAAATCATGTGTTAACCGGCCTAATTAAAAACAGACTCATTGCAAAGAATTCAGAAAATTGGTAAAACAGTATAAAGCCAGAGTTTGTTCCTGTTAATTAACCATGTGACATATTTCCTTCAAGCTTTTTTAAGACTAGAATTATCATTATTTCTGACCAGTCCTATAGTATCTTCAGTTGACAATAATAACCCTGAAGTAATGCAACACTTCTAAGCATATTTTGAATAAAATGTTTAGTTTAGCTTTTATTTTACCTTATCTAATTGTGGGAAAACATCTATAGAGTAACATTTAGTTTTAAGTCTCATACAGGAGCCATTCACTAACTGTGACTGCCTACACAGCTTAGGTTAGCCAGACATCCAAACAGATACATCTTACAATTGTCTTGCTTTGTTTACATTTCGAGTTATCACAAAAATGCTAATGAAGTACTTCAAAGTTTTAAGTGACAGGACAGAATACCAAAGCAACAGTATTTTTTTAATCTTTAACCATAACACAAATCTTAATGTCACTGTATTCATTTACTAATAATTAAGCACAAGTTAGCACTGCACTAACAAGGTAATAATCATGAGTTGTTAGGAATGCAAGAGTAATTGATATAATTATATATCACCACGAGATGGAGTGAGAGTTCTCCACAACTCTCACTCCTTTCAAAAGACTACAGATCTAACTTACTTCACTCTGCCATCTAGTGGTGATATAATTAGGTATTACTCTTGGATCAGTCTTCTAGGCAAGAATAAAACAAAGCAATTCACAAGAACTAAGAAATTAGTTGAAAGGACAAGATTAAGGCCAGAAGGAAAGTGGTAATATCATTTAGTATAATGGCAAGGACAAGCAGAAAGAATGTCAGAGTGGAGTCCCAAATGTCAAAACAAATTTAAAAACTAAAAATCTATTTTAAAACTAAAATATTTAAAAAATATAACTTTCATCCTTAGTTCCTTTCAGTATAAAGAATTCCAAAGATTGCTTCAACTATTCCTTTAAAAGGACAAGTCATTTGGATTTAAACAGTTTAACACTGCCTTTTGTATTTAACAAAATTAATAAAACTGTACAAAACCATAAGGAAGGAAGCATGGAAGGTCTCTAGGGACGCATCTCAATTTGGGGTAGGGCTGTTTAGATTTACAGTCAATAATGTTTTTCTTTTCACTGAATAACAGTTTTTATTTGCTTGAGTTTTACATTTGGAATTTCTTTAAAGGGCATACTTTTAAAAATTTTTACCAAAAAATGTACATACCATGTCAAACATACATAACAAAATTAGAAAGCAAAGAGTTAATCCTGGTAAGTAAAAAAGCTCTATAAATCAGTCAGAAAAACATAATCACTTCAAAAGGAAAACATAAAGGATATGATCAAGCCATCTACAAATAACATAGTTAATAAACAATAGAATTACTCATTAGTAAACTGATGAAAATGAGAGTAATAATGATATTAACACAGTACTTTTTGCTGCTCGATCATTCAAAGAGAAATATTTATAATAAACAGTATTGTTGGTGGGGATGTAGGAAAGCAGATGCTGTTAGTAAAAATATAAACTGTGTGACCATCTTAGAGTCTGTTAAATGAGAACACATTTTTACTTAGAATTTCAACTTCTAAACATTTATGCTAGGCAATAACTCAAAGTCTGTATACAAAAATTTATCTTAGGGATATTATTAAATTGTTCTTTATAAGAGCCCAAACCTGGCCACAAGCTAAAGTTCAACAATAGATGATTAGCTAAATAAACTACTTAACCATAGACAAATATGCATCCATATGCTGGAATGCTATGTAATTTGTAAAAATCATGGTATAGAAATATTAATGACACCAGATAATTCTCACCTTTATTATGTGAAAAAGCAGGTCATAATGCTACTATATGTATAGCATGATACCAATTTTATTTTTTTATTTTTTAAAAAGGTACTTTATTTTCTTTGTGCTTTTCTAAATTTCCCCACATACATGTATCAATTTTATAATCAAAATAAGATGGTAAAATTACTAATTTTTTACACATCACAAAACTCTTCATTACTATATATTTCACAAAAAATATACAACTTTCCAATCAAATTTACACTTGCATATTTAAGTGAGTGGAAATAATCTTGGGTTAAATACAGATTTCAGATGTATGTGTTCAACACAAAAAGGATACTGAAAAAATAATTTAGAGCATTTCACAGGCTACTTAAAGGTAATAAGCACGGTTTGGAAATTTCTCACTAAAAAGCCAGAACTACATGTCCACTTAAGAAAACATTTTATAATTTGTTATTCTAATGCATTAGCTGTTTTGCATTATCTATCCAAGATCTCTAAGTAAAATTTATTTTCTACATATTCAAATTTGACTGTTACTTAAAACTAAAACATTAAAATGGCCCACCGAAGTATTAATTATAAAACTACAAATTATCACTATGCAATAAGTAATGAAAATTTCTTATTAAATAGCCCATTTATCCAGATAAGATTATATGTATTTCAATGTTGTCATTCTACAAGGATAAGACACCAGAAAGAAAGTAAATTAATGTAGTGTATTAAACCAGCTGCTATTGGCAATACAAGAAAATGTATATGCTAAATAAAAATGGATATAAATTTATAACTGAAACTTCATTCACAAAATGGAATGGTTTTCTACTAGCAAAATTTAAATTACAGCTCTTCAACAATATTCTAAACAAAAATAATTAAAAATCCATTCAAATAATTTAGAATAAACTTTATTTTTTTAATTCCCAGAAAAAACTGAAACTATCATTTACACCAGTTGCAATAGCTATAAAAATTAGAAATCAATTTGCTGTAACTCTTCAAAACACTTATGAGCATAAAACAAAACTAAAAGAAACAAAACGGAAAAACTAAGTATGCCTTTTAAATTTAATATAATCTGTGACATACCCACCTATAGATGTACAAACAACAAAGGCATTCAAAGCAGTGAAAGATTTTTTTTGTTGTTGTTTAAGCTGAGCCATGCTGCCGCCTGTTGGCAGCTCAGCAGCAGCTCAGCTTGGGCTGGGCATTGAACTGCTGTTGCTCAGAACTCAAACTCTTGGGTGAGCCCTTAACCAACTGAGCCACTCGGCCGGCCCAAGCAGTGCAAGATTTAATTAATTTAGGACAATATTCCCACCAATCCCAACCCAGTTTTCATCACTTTCAATTACTTGTGCAGGTTTGTACATAGTCACAAAAAGTAAATCACTCCCAATATGAAACCAGCTGATGCCAATTCAGAACACTCCACAACCAACACAACTATAACTAGCTGGGAAAAAGCAAAATCCAGGATCCAAAGTGTGTATGCTTCAATATAACTGCAATATATTTCTACTTTTGTAAAAACAAAAAACAAAAAAGTTTCCTGTAAACTAATATGTCTAAAAGAAAAGCAAATGTATCATTTCATATTCATTTTCTGAGTTAAAAAAAATATATATATGTAATCTTCCTTTGTTTTTGAGAAGTTCAAATATGAAGTGATAGTTGTTGGGTAATTGGATTCTTTAAGAAAGCTCTATAGAAGAGATGAATACAACATACAGTATCTTCTTTAAGAAGTATGAGCTGAAATGTTAGGCATTCCTTGTTGTTTTTGCATTTAAGGAATGCTGTTCTTGTAAACAACAGCTTTGAAAAAGAAATACTGAGACCAAAACACATTACTAGAGGATCTCTATAAAAGGTCAGTCAGGGAAATCGTTTTTAGAATTTATCTTGCTAGAAAAAAAAAATGCTACCACTTTTCTTCCTTTTTCTTTTTTCTGATTATCACAATTAAACATCAGAAGATTTTTCCCAAATAAATACTGATGTAAATGTTGATTTTAAAGGCAAACAACTTTCATAAGCATCTATTTCTCAGGCATTTCACCACTTGTGGAGACTGAGGCAGCACTATTCTGGTGTGAACTGTCACTGGACCTCTGTGCCGTATTCCTTCTGGGAGAATTTATTGGGCCCTGAAGCTGATTGGCAGATGCAGGGTTAGCCGCATTTGGTGACTTCGTGGAAGAATTGGATGGACCTCTATGACGATTACTTTCCGAACCAGAAGTAGATGAATGTCTTTTTCTTCCAAATTCCTCACTAATAGGGGGCTGCAAATTATGAAAGACATAAAAGACAACATAGTGATGATTATACTATTTTTCCTGCCTTTAAAATCTAAGGCCAGACTTTTCCAACAAAGAGAGAAATGTTGGCGCTTCAGTAGATTTTGTTATTACAACAAAAACTTAATAGCAATTTAAGGTATTATTAAACTTAAATGTCTCCCCCAACTAAATCAGCTTCCTAGTATGTTTTTCATTCTTTCATTCGACAAATGGGCTTGAACTACATAATAGGCCATACACATAATACAGGGTTCCTTGCCTCCAAGAAAATGTTTCAGAGGCTATTTTCCTTCTTTACTCAACTTATGTCAACTGCAAAATGATTGTATTAATATCTAGTCCCTTCCGCAGCCTAAACGCCTATCTTAAGCTTGCTTAACTGGTAATGTTTAGCAGATAAATGAAAGCAGCAAGGAGGAAAAAGAGACACCAAGTCAAATAACCTTTAGCAAGTTTGAAGGTTTAGCTGGGATAAGGAGACTGGAGGGCATTATTGATGGCACTGAATTTAAACACTTTCAAACTTTAAATATCCATAAAGCTCCCAAATCCCCTCAGGCTGCAAGCAAAGAGGGGTAGGCAACGGAAAGGTATCCTGTATTAAAAAAAAGTCAGCTTTTTACTCACAGGCCTTCCAGTTACAGAGAGTGCCCAGAACCATACGCCACCAGATTAATATTTTTATTTGAAGACAAGACCGTAACGTCCTTCTCCAATATTCCACTGTATTTAAAAGCGGAGACTAGGGCCGGCCGAGTGGCACATTGGTTAAGAACTGGTTTGGGACACCAGAGGGCCCCGGTTTGGATCCCACATATGAGGGCCAGTGACACTGCCTTCTACAGCTAAGATGCTGAACAACAGCTCAACCTGGAGCTGGGTTGCCATGAGTTACTGGTGAAGGCATAGGCTGCAGCCCCTGCTGCAGTGGGTTGCCATGGGCTACTGTGTGTAGCCAGCAGCCAGCGTGAGCGGCCCTCAAGCTGCCGTCCAGAACCCGGCTACTGGTCTGCCTCGCCCGGGAAGAGTGTAATGATGGTGCCAACTTGGGCCAGTGAAGCAACGTCCTCCACAACTAGACTGAAGAACAAAAGGACAGCAACTTGTCTGTTCCCCTTCCCCCAATTCCCCAATAAAAATCTTAAAAAAAAGAAAAGAAAAAGCGGAGGCTTGACTCCTTCGCTTCCACTCACATAGGGTAAGAGTCACTATTAATAGAGCAGGGATGTCTTTGTGAACTGGCTAGGCCCCTCTCAAAACATAGTTCTTAATTCCAGAGACACAGGCACTTGTATTAACTCCATCCCTGGGCCATTACATCCATTTACACAAAACTTCAGGACAAATTACAGTACTAAGCAGAGATGGACCTAGCCTTCCTTCGGCTCATCTCTCTTTTTGCTTTTTTTGATTCTCCTGTCCTTATTTTTCTTTTCATCCTCCTTTTTTCTTTACCTTCTTATGTTCATGCCATTCTTTTTTTAATGCTTTCCTTTTCCTCTTGAAATCAAATTGTTTAAAGCCTACTTTGCTGTCTCTACATGTGCATATAACATATGCACATAACATTCTTGCTCTAATTTTATTATGTGGGGAGCCCTAAATCCACGTTACATCAGCATATCTCACAAAAGCTATAGGATAAAAGTACATAAAAGGAGAACAATTTTCAAACCCCTGGTGAGAAACTGGCAACACATCCACATAAAAGGTACTAAATCCATAAGATGCTTAACTACATGGGCATATCAAAATTAAAGGAAACTGACAATTGTACTGTGGTTATGTAAGATGTTAACATTTGGGAATTCTAGGTAAAAGAGTATATGGGAAGCCTCTGCACTATTTTTGCACATACTTTAAAGTTTTGATTTCAAAACTTGAAAGTTAAATTTTCAAAATAAAAATTGGAAATTGTATAATTAAAATTAAAGTTAAGAAACTCACTGATAGTTCATAATATATGGGTAGTAAAAAGAATACAGAGAAAGAAGTTAAAACTTACATCAACGCGGAAGTCTTCTAACTTCTTAAAGCTACAGAGGTATTCCTGAAGTTTTGGGTCAATAGACTGTGCTTTAGATTTAGAATACTTCAGATAAGCCCAAAACTTTTCTAATCCATACAGCTGACCTAATAAATAAAGAAAAATACACATGACAAATTATATAGAATTTAAAAAAAAATGATTCATATTGAGCATGATCCTACCAGCAATAAACTATTTATCTACCAATATACACATTATTTAGACTTTGACAATAAGATATTGTAATGAATAATGGCAGCTAACATTTATTGAGCATTTGCTATGTGACAGGTATTATTTAAGTGGTTTATTGTATATTAAACCAATTTGGAGAATATACAACCCTATTCTCTTATATATATTACTGATGAGTACAGTGAAACTAAAAGGTTAAGTAACCTTCCCAAGGTCACACAGCTACTAAGGAGTGAAAATGGATTCAGACCTCGGGAGCTAGCCCAGAACCTGTGCTGTTACCCACTGTGCTACTCCACCATTCCAAGCATACCGACTGATGCTACATAGAATTTTCATGGAAGGGAACATCATTGAGTAGTCACATTTGTCAAGGGAATAATGACAAAATACAACTCTATAAAGGAATTTTCTTCAGTGGTCTGCCCTAAAGAAAAAAGTTATGAATTCCCTATTTATTGACAGACTTGGGTTTACAATTTCCAAATAGATTAATTAATTGTTTTGTTTTTTACCAGATTCGTAGTCTCTTTTGGTTTCTTCCTGGAAATCCTTAAAAATTTCTTGTCTGAATTTTTTTTCCAGTCCATAACTGTAAAACCTGAACAGACATTCTAATCCATACCTGTGGAAAAGCAATAAAATGTTTATAATAAAATTTTTGCTATGACAATGCCAACATCTCATATTCAGCATCGATACAAGCAAACATGGAATAAATAATCCCAAACAAAAACTAAATGTTTCAGTGTATGCCATATTTCTTATGCAGAGGTTTAGCTGAAGTGGTGATTAGTAACCCATAGTTGGCTTTGCTATTTTTGGTGGCTCAGCCACAGTACCTCCTGGAGGCATACTGGGAACCCACAGAATGAAGGGGGGCCCTTGGACAACTCGAGTATGGTTCTTTGCCAAGATAGAGGATCTCTCCCTGGTATTTCTGCAGAACTGGTCAAAAAATTTAATGACAAATTGGGAATGTTTTAGATTTTTCCAAACCAAGGTTTATAATGGTGTGTTTGTGTGTGGTATTAATACTCTTGCTTGCTTGAACATAATCTTTACTCTAGAGATTAAGACCAGTTTTGTGCCTTAGACCCTAGGTGTGTTTGACACATTCAACTATAAAGGGACAAACCTAATAAAATGGTTCCTAAGAGATCCTTCTTGTTTCAGTTATATATATTTAATAAAATACATTTTGCTAAAAGAATTGTAATCACTACACAAATCAGAAAATAAATTTATTTGTTTCCTCCTATAACTACCTAGAGAACCTGAGACAAGTTGGGGACAGTGAATCAGCAAACTACATGGGCTCAACCTTCAATTAACGGAGATGAGCAGAACCCATGAGAGAGAACAAGGTCAAAAGGACAGCAGTAAAAGGACCATGTGTAGCTCACTGAACTAAAACATGTCACAAGCTTCCTCAGTTAGAATCCTTAAGTCATGCTGGGTGCCTCAGGGGGATAGAGGCTACAATTTCTTCATACCATAATGTTGCCAGCTGTTATTCACAGGAAGATGTGTGTGTGTAACCAGCTTATTTAGATGAAGAGTGATGGTCAGTCCAGAGAAAGAGCAAGCTGCCAAGAGAAATGTAGGACTACCAACTATACACCCGCACACCAACCAGAGAGCCCTTTGCTCTGGGGTAGCCTTAAGTGATGCTGTTCTTTGAACTTGTGTAATATGACTAAGGACTAAAAGAATGCCAGCTCAGAATAACAAATCTGCCTTGACACTCCTTTTACGGGACCATATCATATGGATATCAGTGGTTATTAACCTTGGCTACATATAAGAATCATCTGGGGAGCTTAAAAAAAATACCAATGCCCAGGCCCCACTGCAAAGCAATGAAATTAGGCTCTTTGGGGGTGAAGCCTAGGCCCCTTGCTCTCTGGAAAGCAGAACTGACAACTTCTGGTTTTATCAAGTTAATGATACTTTAAAGGAATATCAGAATTCTTAGATTATTGGTAAAGGCCAATAAACTACTACAACATTGGGATTTTTACTCTTACTTTTTAGCAAACTAAAGACCAAAAGTATGACATTAGTAGGAGCATTTGAGACCTTGCTCCAGGGATATGTCATCAGTTTAGCTCAAATAAACTCTTATAAAAATTATTTACATTTCTAAGAAAAGTATGCCATTAATAACACAACCCAAGTATGCAGCATAACTGCTGGAGTGAAGAGAGACAAATGACCAGCCTCTTAGTTGTCATTTACTCACCCCTCACTGTGAGACAGCTTAAAGGCTGAGAACCAGAAAGAACTATATTTGAATTCTAGCCTTGTAGTTATATCCCTGTAAATGGGGATAATAATATCCTTTTCAAGAATAGATGAAATAATACTTATAAAGCACTTAGACCATAATTGGCACATTAAATATATGCAATAAATGTTATTTCTCTCTTTCCTTCTTGAAACCATCTTACTGCTACTTTTAGTCAATGGATATATTTAGTAATGATCTTCTTCCAAATAATTATAACCATTCATTGAGGACTTCCTATATACCAGGTAATATGTTACCCCCTTTCCATGTTCTGTTTTGTTTAATCTTCACAATAATCTTTTGAGGGTATCTAGCATAATTTCCCCCACTTTATGAAGAACCTAAAACTTACAGGGATTATAATTTTCCAAGGTCACAGTATATTAATGGACTACAATCCAAATCTAGGTCTGATTTCAAAGCTTTCAGGTGCTTAACCACTGTGCAATATACACTTCCTAAGGAATAGCTAATCCGGTCTCGTCATGAACACTGAAGAAACGGACACCAAATTATAAAATGGTATTAAAAAGCTATTAGAAATATACACAGAGGAACACAGAACAGGAACTCCCAATTTTGACTTGGGTAGGAATGGAATCAGAAAAGTTATTACAAAGTCCAGAATAACAAACGAATTTTTTGCTTAAAAAGCAAAATATGCTGAAATTAATTATAGCAATGGCTTTCAAATTTTCTAAGTTCAATAGTAAGAAAAATATTTTGTGACCCACTCAATACATTACTCATATATATGTGTGTACATAAGATCATATACAAGTTTTTCAAACTATTCTTAAATTGGTATGTATGCATGAATTGTAAAACAGTTTGACCTTACCCTTTTCAGTGCAGTCTTACTATATTTTCTACTGTATTTTTTAAAGCAAGTCAGAGCCACTAAATTGATTTCACAACTCACCAATGGGTAGCAAACCACAGCGTGGATGAAAACAAGATCAGAAATGGCAAATTCTGCCTTTTGTGTCAACTCTGGTAACCTGGCAGTAGCTATTAAAGCTGTGATAAGAAAGACTATAAATCTGAATTTAAGAACAACATTTAACTGTGCTGGGATTGATTAGAAATGTCAGTAAGAGACGGGAGAGGAAAATAGAGGTACACATGCCATGCATCTGTCATTCCTCATCAAGATAAAGATTCTAGATGAAAATCAAATGGGCTTTATTTGTACACAAATCAGTGCAAATTAATTTTTTTCAGAAATATTTACTTGCAGCATATTTTTTCCTCTTGAAGATCCCAATATCTGAGTAACAATATATTCTTATTTGAGACTTACAAGAGTAATCATTTTTAGAACTTGAAAAAGGGTAAAGTTAGGAAATATTGAGAGGAAATTATTTTTCCTTCTTTCTACCACTTCTCCCTTCTCCCTTTACCCAGGAATAAACAGCCTGCACAAGTTCACTCCATGTTCCTCTCACCCACTTGTTCGGGTCTCAACTCAGCCCTGTTGGCACTCTAAAAAATCCCTTTAAACACTCCTCAAGGAAGCAAGGTCTAACCTGGACAAAAAGAATGAGTTAGCAAAGCAGAGGGAGGAACAGAGAACAAGTAGAGGTAAGAATATGTACAGATGTCTGGAGAGCTTGGTTCACTCAGAGAACACGTAGTCCAGTAATGCTGCTGCCTAGGGGACTAAGAGTAGGAAAAAATGAGATTTGAGAGGTAAGTCAAGACATATCATGAGAAGCCTTACTTTTTCTTGGCTCAAGGAGTCTTAACAACAGGTTTGGCTCCAATCGTGTATCAATTTGGGGATGCATATGCACATGTAAGGGAAGTCTGTAATGGTGGGGGCAAGAAAGAGAAAAATCTCTCTTGTAAATTTCATTTGGCCTTTGTGCCAGCCCCTAAAATGGTCCCAAATGATCCCGCCTCCTGGTATTCACAACCTTGTATGGTCCCCTCCTACACTGTACCAGGGTGGGTCTATGGACAAAGCAATATGGCAGAAGTGATAGCATGTCACTTTCAAATATAGATTATACAAGCCACTAAGGCTTCCGTCTTAGAAGTTCTCCCTCTTTCTGAGATCGCTAGCTCTCGGTGAAGTCATGCTGTGAGATGCCCTGCGGGGAGGCCTATGTGGTGAGGAACTGAAGCCTCCTGGTAATAGTTGTGTCTATGAGCGTGCAGAGGGTCCTTCAGCCTGAGGGGTCTTCAGACTCTGTAGCCCTGTCCAACACCTTGACTGCAATTTCATGAGAGACCAAGCAAGAACCAACCACCCAGCTAAGCTGTTCTGGGAGTATTGACCCTTAGAAACTGTGGACTAATAAATGTCTGTTTTCCTTAAGCTTCTGAGTTTTGGGATGATTTGGTATGCAGCAACAGAAAACTAGTACAACCTTCCCTCCAATTATGTTGTGCTACTTTCAAAGCTCAAAATTGGGCTATTTTTCAATACTAGTTTTTAAATTATTTTTTAAAAACTCCCTCCAAGTGAAACAGTTTAGAGATTCCTCAAAAAAATTAAAAATAGGGCCAGCCGAATGGCACGATGGTTAAGAACTGGCTTGGGACGCCAGAGGGCTCCGGTTCGGATCCCACATATGAGGGCCAGTGACACTGCCCTCTACAGCTAAGATGCTGAACAACAGCTCAACCTGGAGCTGGGCTGCTGTG